TTTTTTCAGTGTAATCTCCATTATACCAAGTACGATGGACGCTGCCTGTATACCAATTTCTATATTATTTCAAGATGAATGTGAAATTACACAACATAACACTTATAACTTGATTCTAGATATTTCCATATATTTGTTTTTTCAGTGTGAAAACTCTCTCTATTCAACCAATCATGATAAATGCAGCCCGTATACAAATGTCTGTATTATTGCAAGTCGAATGTGAAATTACAGAACACTACTCTTATAAATTTATTCCGTGTAATTCCATATACCTATTTATTTTTTTCAGTGTAGAAATAATATCTATTCAACCAAGTATGATGGACGCAGCATGTATTTAAAATTCTGTATTATTCCAAGTTGAATGTGAAATTACACAACATTACGCTTATAACTTGATTCCGTGTGAGTCCATATATTTCTTCAGAGTAGAATCAATATTTATCCAACCAAGTACGATGGACGCAGCCTGTATACCCATTTCTGTATTATTCCAAGGTGAAGGTGAAATTACACAATATTACTCTTATAACTTGCTTTCAGGTGATTCCATATATTCTTTTTTTCCAGTGCAGAAATAATATCTATTCAATCAAGTATGATAGATGCAGCCTGTATACCAATTTCTGTATTACTCCAAGTTGAATGTGAAATTACACAACATTACTCATATAACTTGATTTCAGGTGATTAATTTTTTTTCAGTGTAGTAATAATCTCCATTCAACCGAGTAGGTATGACGGACGCAGCCTATGGTCATCGGCCGGCAGTAAACAAAACACAATCTATTTTGTTTATGTTTACGTTAACAAGACAGCTACAGGCATCGTCCGGATTATTCAATCAAGATGCAATTGTTAGCAAAGTGTTATCTGCACTTGCGAAGTGAGATGTACAGTTAGTTAGTCATCTGTTATTTAAGCTCTGCCAACCGGTTGTCCGCGACATCCAGCACACTAATGCGAAAAAAGAAAGGAAACACAACAACGGCTCTGAGTGTTACATGTCTAATCTAGTAGTCTGATATTTTGCATTTAACGATGTCGCCAATTAGTAATTACCGAGAGGAACAGTTGGCCCATTGACAGAGATAAGAGGAAAACGCACTGGGTTGAACTGTATGAATTTATAACAAAATTAAATGGAAATATATCAAAAAATGCATTGAAAATATTAACTTACCATAAATCTATTGATTTTTCTTCATCCCGACTCTATAATGAGCAAATATTTCTCTACGATTTTTGTTCAAATTTTTGGTTGAATCTTATGGGTTAAACTTTCATTGCCTGACAAAGCATAACAAAAAGCATAACAAATTTGAAATATATAAATGTATGAATATTAAAAAAAAAGAAACATTTGAATAAGTTGGTTGAAAACTGGAAAATATCATATCTTGATATAATGCGTATGAAAATTGAAGGTATCAGTATGCCAATATGAGATCCACACTAGGACACGAACAATATCCACGCAACTTCTTCAAATACCTTTCCGAACCGGTTCTCCTCATTGTAGATAATTTCAGCTTCCTATGTTAGTGTAACTCTTTACAGTTTACTGATTGATTGTTTTCTCTTCGCTGAATAATCTTCTAGAGCTCCCCAATACGAGCTTTCAACGACTACTTGGTTTCACAGGGTTACCAGCGTAGAGTAGTGGAAGTCTATTTTTTTACAGGCTTTTAGACTACACCGTTAACACGAATTACAGCAGCAAGTTACGAAACAAACCTAGATTTCTCGTTATTGGCGAAGGTGTAGGTTTATAATTGTATAGGTTTAAACGAGACGTTTAATTTCTTTTTAGAATGGGAAGTTTCTATGAACTGTAGGGTGCTTATTTCAATGTTAAAATATAATAGAATTCTGGATACGACCTCTGACTGTATGCCTCCAACTGTCAACTAGGAACTACCTTATAAAGGACTGTTCCCGAGAAGAGAGGACTGGATTCTCCTGGAGAAGGAAATATCAAGAGCAGATAGTTGTTGGATCACAGATGGATCAAAAACACCTTCCGGTTCTGGTGCAGGTGTCTTCAGTCGCAGACCTAGGACAGAGATACCAACCTACCAAGTAACCTATGCCACTGTATTTCAAGCGGAAATTTACACTACTGAATTGTGTGCGAAGAGATTGGAAAAATCCAACCTCATTCACAAGTCAATAAAAATATTCTCGGACAGTCAAGCGGCGTTGGAAGTTCTTGGTTCCTACCGCGCCACGTCTAAATTGGTAGCAAATTGCCAAAAACGACTCTCCTTGATAGAAAGACTTAACAGATTGTCTCTGGTCTGGATTCCTGGCTATACTGGTTTGGAAGGCAATGAGACTGCTGACCCCCCTTGCAGAGGAAGGTGCTGCAAGCAGCTTCATCGGATCAGAACTGTCATTTAGGTTTTAGGTTTTGCCAAACAAAGATTGAACACCTGGAGATGAGGCAAGATGATTTATGGCAGAATCTTCCAGGATTGGCTCATTTTCAGGCGTTAATTCACCCTCCGAAGCTTGATACCAAACAGTTGTTTGACTACAGTAGGGATGAACTACGATGTCTGACAGGCCTTCTTACAGGTAACTGTCATTTGATTCATAATATGCAGAGCCGTACTCTTACCATCTGACCTGAAAGACCACTCACCATACAAACTAATCGACTTCGTTAAGAAGCTGGGTTTATTTGGTCGAGTGTGAGCCATAATAAACTCTTGCGGGTTGCGGTGGACCTAACCTAAGCTAACTTATAATAGCCGGATACAATATCACCCTATGGGAGCTGCGAATATTTTCAAGATTCATGAAAGATCTATACGAATCATCATACAGAACATTGCCAACATCTTTTCAAAAAGTTTAATAAAATGCGACAAAAAGTCGAGTTCCTTGATCAGACAGTCTGATGTACATAACTATAACATATGAAATGCCAATTCAGTTCGCACAGAACGATTTCGTTTATAAAAAATCTCAAAAAAATAACCTGGACTATGCAATAACAATAATTTTATTTGCAATAACAAAATAAACATACTAAATTCAAGTCATTTAAAGATTTGCAAAAAAAAAATAGTTCAGTCATTTAGGTTCTATCTAACCTGTCTATGACAACTACTCACAAGCAGAACGATTGTAATTAATGAATTTAATTAATGAATTTATTTAATGAATACTGCTAGAGAATCAAGTTTCGAAAAGAGGTACAACAGAAAAATGGAAAATTTAATATTTAGTTCGAACCACTGTTATATCTGAAATATGTGTGAATTGCGTTTACTTATTTTTTTTGTATTTTTCCACTACTGGGGATCAAATACTACTTAAGAATAGGTTCTATTCGTTTTTAGAACCCATTTTTCATTGTTCTTTTAAAAATATGTTTGCTCTAAATAATTCTTATACTTTCTGGCAATGTATTGTATATTTTAGGTACTAGATAGGTAAAAGTTCGTTGCCCTACTGCTTTCTGTGCGCTTGGAATTTTGAGATAATCTCAAACTAACGCCCTAGTTCAGTGAGTACGATGTACATTTTCAAAATATGCTTGACATGTAATTGTCGAATATCCATGATTACTGAATCCTCATATAGCTATTATTTGTGTAATCATCTACCTCTTGAGTTTACAGCTCTCAGTCAATCTAAGTTTAAAAAGAAAATGAAAAACAATCTGAAATATTGTTTTTACTCAGTCAATGAATATTTAGAATATATTTATTTCTGCAACCTAATTTTGACAATAGTTTGTGTTATTTATTCTTCTTTTTCCATTTGAAGGTTTGTAAAGTTTTGTGTTGGTATTGTGTAGATACTTTTTTCTGACTGCAGAATATGTCAGATGATTTTTCAAAGTTTTGTGTTGTCCAATTTTTAAAATGTTTGTCTCATCCACTATTTATGACTTATTTTGATTGTAAATGACTTGCTACAAAAATATTTGAGTATGTAATGTATTCAATAAACTAACTATAATTTTTAAAAGATTCCCGATCCCTGTGGCAGTATTTTCCATAATGGAAATTATTATATCTGAGTGATATATATCAAATTTTTTTGTAGGTATCATAATGTCAAAATAAGTTCGTTTTATTCGGCAGAATTGTCAGAACCCACTTCATTGTCAAATATCTATGATTTGAATGAAGAGGTTTACAAATCTATGTTCTTGATAGACAACCAAAATCCAGAAATCATGGAGAGGGGCAGAGAGCGGCAAAGAGGAAAGAACTTAAGGCGAGGAAGAATAGGAAATCAAACATTTCGTTCAAAAATTAAATACAGAACTCAAAAATGAAACTATGCCCAAGACATGTGTGCAGATTCAAAGATAACGAACTCATTCAGAAAATATATGATTCGAAATCGAAAGGAAGGAATGTGTAGAAGAGACCAAGTAAAGATGAAAACAGTGAATGAGCAGTTGGTAAGGAACTCAAATGTAACAATATTTGTATGATTGAAATATAAATTCAAGTGGCCACCTTATAACTTGCCAAATTTTTCAATAATAAATAACTTTGTTTTTATCATTGGGGCAAACATTTTTTGAGTAATGAATGTTGGCCATTGCTACTCATATAATGAATTCAAACAATTCAATCCCAATCTGTTCAGATCCTCATCCATCGTTAGATATTGTGAAAAACTGTTAGACGTGGCAACAGTGGCGACGTTGTCGGATTGAGCGCGGTCGACACCGGCAGCAATAGCAACGCGCAATTAATATGGCGGGGCCCGTGACTCATACAAAAACTTGTTTTATATCCTTTCTTGTTTTGCTCTTTGCTCACCGATGTTGATTGCCGATCTGTAAAAGGTGGACACAGTGGCGTTTCGTGTCCACCTACTAGGAGGGAAATTTTAATAATTTATTTGTTCGAAATCGACTCAGCGGGCAAAAGTAAAGTTTTTTAGACTGTTAACATCTAAAAAATGTTACGTGATTAAATTATTAAAACAAACATTTAACTATCAATAAATAAACAAGTACTTACGCATTAACATTTCAAACGGTTTTGACGACTCACCTGTAAAAAAAAAGTATACGATTAATTTTCTCCACTAAAAAAGTATAGCAATTTATAGAAACGTTGTTTTGGATTTTATTGATATTATTAAAAAGGTTCTGAAGTGAGACGATTTTATATTTAGGTACATACATACATACATACATAATCTCCAACATCGGAAAAATATTGGGACTCATTCTTTAATTATTTATAAAGTCTAAACAGTATTTTTTTCACTTATATCATCGATCAAAAAGTTTGCTTAGTTTTCGAGAAGAAATTTGAGAATTGACATTTTTCACTAATTTACGTATATTTTCCTCATTTTTGTGAAATACCATTTCGAAAATATTAATAGGAAGTGGTATTTTTCACACTCCAACAAATGAACAATACTTTATTTTGGCTTATTATGAAGTAGTTATTGTCAAAAATAAAAAACACCAAAAGTAAAGATTCAAGTGTTCTTCTTTTCAACATTTGATACTTTAGTAACTTCAAAATTATAGAAACTGAAGCGTATTATTTTTTATGTAATTAATTCATAATGATATAGAAGCACGCTGAATCTGTCAATAATAATAATAATAATACATTTATTGCTCAGCCCNGGTTCGTATTGGATAGTTTTTACTTACCGAGTTTTATGATTGGCTGAAGAGTCATAAAATTAATGTAGCGATGAGTACCGCGTTGTGTGTGTTATTAAAGGGGAACTACTGGAAGGTAGGGGGCACTATATCTTCTACTTGAACTATAACAAGACTAGGTAGCCCTGCTCTAATGGAGAGATTGTCTCAGAACGTTTCGCCCATAACTGTGATGGACATCTTCAGCAGTGGTTGGCAACAACGGTAGACTTATTTACAAATCTACCAACAAGGAGATCGCAGTTGTGTGCAAAACGTTCGGAACCAATCTCACCATTGGATCATGGCTAGCTAGCCCAAATACCCAAAGTTTCCATTTGATTTCCGGCAGTGTAAGATAAAAATGCCAGTGGGACTACAGCTGAATTACTTTATATATAATGAATATTTTCTAAAAAGTTTCCATTCAAGTTTCGAACTGTAATTATTCATAGAAGTGCACTTTCCATGGAGGAAAGAAAATAGTGGCAGAATGATATAGAAGTCGATGAATGCAAATAATTTAAAACTGGTGTTTCTATTGAAGTCCTGTTTTTCAAATTTAGATGCAAGTTTACTATTTTTTTCAAAATCTTGGCTGTCGATTTATCACGAAGAGATGAACACATCAATCTGTGACTGGTTTAATTATGAAAACAATTGTCCATATCTTGGCAAAATACCAATGATTGATATTCTAATGAAATATTCAATACTCTAGAAAAACAAAGCAATAATTTTCAAAGTAAATTATAGTGAACTCTTTATTATATCAATAAGCTTATTCCTCGTTTGTTTGAAGGTGGTTGACAATGTTTCGTGGTGTATGTCATCAGTTCATCAGTATCTGAACCAGAAATCCAACCACCATCAATCGACTAAGAGAGGAATCATCAAGACTCTACTGGACCGTGCTTTTGGGCTCTGTAATACAAAGGAAGGTCTCGAAAAGCAACTAGACATCATCAAAAATGACCTTCAACGGAAAGGTTACTCCAAAGTGATGGTAGAATAGGCCTTAGCTAGAAGACAGCAAGAACTCCACAAGGAAGAGAAGCCGCCACAACCAGTACTTGTACTTCCCTCTACATCAGAGGATGTAGAGGAAAGGATAAGACGGATTGGGTCCAAGTATGACATCAGGACCTGCTTCAGATCTGGGAACACTATCCGTAGCAGCCTCACGAAAACCAGGTCACTAAACGCAGACTGCGATTCCAAGAATTGCATTTACCGGATACCCTGCGAGTACGGAGAATCATACATCGGTGAAACTATAAGGCCATTGAAAGTTTGCATTGCTGAGCACAAGAAACACACACAGCGAGGAGAAACCAGCAAATCCGGAATAGCAGAGCATGTTTGGACTCATCAACACAACATCAAGTGGGCTCAAGCTGAAATCATCCACAAAGAGGAACACTGGTTTGGGAGAAAATTATAAGAAGCCACGTATATGTTGTCCAACAACGCATTTAGTCAAGATAGCGTAGAGATACGTAACATATGGAAACCTCTAATCAAGCGAAAAACAACTAACTCTCGCCAAACGGTCATCTCCCGCCAAAACCAATGAAGCGGAACGAGGGAAGAGGAGATAGGTGAAAGCACTCGAATGACCTATAAATAGTCAGATCTCGGAGGAATAAGTCCAGTTATCACCCTCCCGCCAAACGGTCATCTCCCGCTAAAACCAATGAAGCGGAAAGAGGAAAGAGGGGATAGGCGAAAGCATCCGAATGACCTATAAATAGTCAGATCTCGGAGGAACAAGTTCAGTTATCACCCGAAGTAGATTGTGGATACTAACAATCGAAACGTCGTGACGTAACTTGGTTTGGAATCTTTAGACCTCTTGGATATTTCATAATATCTCATCAATACAGTAATTTGAAATTTTGATTCAGTCGATTCCTTTCTGAAGCTGTTCAAGTCTAGATGTATTTTCTGCAGTTTAGTAAATCTCTAACCAATGGTTCTGGAGCAGACAATATCATTACATACTCACCAATGAACAACTGAAATTTTTTTTATCATGTCATACATGCCTTTTATATTTCTTTGTGAAAATACTGAAGAATTGCAAAGCTACCTGAATATGAATACAAATATGATTCTGGTAACTAATACATGTTCCTTCTGTCACCACATCTCATCTTCAAAATATCAATCTCCTTCTTCTCTTTTTGTGAGAATGTGTTGTAATTAATGTTCAATTCTAAAGTTTGTGGAAATTAACGCCATTAAAACACACAGAAGATCCTTTGCCATTGGAACAGAAGAAATGGGCAAGCTAAATATGTTACATAAATCATGAATCAAAGTAGGCGAGGGAGCTGATCTGTGCCGCAGTAGGCAATTACTATTCCTGTTCTTGATCCTAAAACTGGATCAAATGAGATATCACCAAAATGAAGTATCGTGACGAAGAGAAAAGGAAAGGTCGGTTAACGTACTCCCGGAAAGAACTATATTGGTTTTAGGGTGGAATAAAAAAGATTTGGGATGAGTAATGGGATTTTTCACAGTACAATTCTCAAAAAATGGGCATATTAGAGAGAACTGTAAAAAATTTGCGTTTGGGAACATGGAAACATTACCTCTTGGTATGTAAAAGTAATCTCCGTTGAAGAGATGGATGGATGGATGGATGGATGAATGGATGGGTGGATGGATGGATGGATGGATGGATGGATGGATGACTGATTGGATGGATGGATGGATGGATGAATGAATGGATGGATGGATGGATGTGTGGATGGATGGATGGATGGATGAATGGATGAATGGATGAATGGATGGATGGATGGATGGATGGATGGATGAATGGATGAAAAAAACTAAAAAAAAATGCTTTAGTAGCAACCACAAACTAAAATATAAAAACAATTCGAAACTAATTTAAGATAATACATCTATTTACAAAAAAAACAAGTGATCATTTTCAAGAGGAAGATCAAACTCTTCATCTTGAACCTATGATGCACTGTTTGGAACCTTTGGTGTAGTAATGAATATTACTGGAGTTTTTTCCCAGTAATATTCTTCATCTTGAAGATGATCACCTTGGTGATCGAAAAACGTGTCGAGGAGTTAAAATAACGGTTTGGTGTTGGGAAAAAACTCCAGTAATTTTCTGATGTTACTGCCTCATTTGGACGTCCACTGCGTTCTGCATCATCGGTGTCTGTGATTACGTTTGAAGTTAGCAAACCAACGTTTCTGATGAAGCAGAGTCTTAGAGCGCCCGTACATGAGCCACATTTTGCGACCACATAATTGCAGTCGCGTTCCAGCGAACTCAAGCCGCCCATAAGAAAAACTACTACACATACACGGGGTTCACAAAAGTCAAAACGGACGTCTGCCGTCAACTTGCTGCTGATCTCCGCCGAGATGTCATCGCGGCATCCGCCGTACACTAACCACCAACTTGCAGCCGTAGCCAACCGCGTACATCGTGGTGTACTTTTTCTCATATTGGTCTCACAGCATTCAATTTTTGATGGCAGTTGCCTTAACTGCAAGTGCGGTTTATATGACCGCAAGTCGACCACAAAAATGTGGTTGGGTCAACCGCGAAGTGCAGTCAACGTGACCACAATGTTGTGGTTGCCTCAACTGCAAATATGTGGTCCGTGTACGGCCGGACACTTCTTAAACAATTGCTTCTCTTGAACGGTATTTTTCCCATCAAGAACAGTGCAAATCCTTTTGGAGGTTAGGTTAGGTTAGGTCTAAAGTGAGTGGGTCTATTCAACCCTCCACTGCAACCCGCAAGGGTTTGTTGTGGCTCTCACCTATTCACACGCGACCAACTAAACCCAGTTTCTTAACGAAGCTAATTAGTTTGTATACACCATCCAGACAGGCCATGATGACCCCATCAGTTTCCGATTTTAGCCCACTCGACCTGAGGAAAGCGAAAGTCAGGCGCGTTGATAAGCCAATTTTATTGAAGAAGACCCCAGCATTGGCTACAGCAGTGGTCTCTCAGGTCAGATGGTAAGAGTACGGCTCTGCCGAACTCTAAAAACCTGATTCGGTCTCCAGCCGGGCAGACACAAAGTATATGCTCTGCTGTTTTATCATTTTCCAAACAGAGGCGATACACACTGTCCTCCGACAGTCCGAGTCTCTGCATATGATGATTCAAATGACAGTGACCTGTGAGAAGGCCTGTTAGACATCGTAGTTAGTCCCTACTGTAGTCCAACAACTGTTTGGTATCAAACTTCGAAGGGTGAATAAACGCCTTGGAGTGATACTGCCAGAAGTCCATAAATCTTCTTGCCATCTAGGTGTTCAATGATTGTTTGGCAAAGCCTGAAGCGATTTCAATGACAGGTTCTGGTCCGATGAAGCTGCTTGCAGCACCCTCGTTTGCAA